TGGGAAACTCGTGTAAACATCTGCTGAACTCCAGTGAAACTCAAGCCGTCCCCGCGCATAGGAAGTCAAGTGGGGTTATAACTAAAAAGTGGTGCGTGCATAGAGGCCATATTCAAACTCTATATGGTCATTGTGCTGTTAACTGTCTAAAGTTTCAGACTTCTAAGTTTTATAGTTTTTATGCAGTTTCTCTTTTTCATCAAGCATTCGGAACCAATTTGACACACTTTGCTTTGCTTTAGTAAAGCCAAATTGCTTTACTGACATTTCATCATCATAAAAACCAAATTTTTTAGTTTTGGTACTTATAAGTCACTAATCTGTGTGATTGTTTTTAAACATTTTTCAAAAATAATATTTTAGAAGTGTAAATGCATATAAAATATGCTAACATATAGCATTAGCCGACCTCTCGAAAACGTCGAAAAAGTGGAAGCTCCGTTCCACATGTGTGTAAATGCTGAGGCGAGTGAATTTTTTTGGTCCACTCTAGTTTACTTGCTGTGAATTAGTCTCTCGGTTAAATGAATGGGGCTCGTGCCGGCTGACGCATGCGCAGATGCGTTTTGTCACAATTCTCTTGTGGGCGGGACCACTCGCGGCCATTTTGGATAGCTCCAGTAGAGCCCAATTTTTGGCCCATTAGTTAGAACGGTGGCGATAGGCGTGACTCTGTCTGTTAATATACTGTATACAGTCTATGGTCTTTACGCACGCCTGTACAGTGAAAATTACAAGGAGTTCCCCCATGTCCCACCCCTTGCTACAAAGCTTTTTCCGTTCAGCTTAAAGGGTTTTTAAGAGTCAAATGTTCGTGTAAAGTTTGGTTTAAGTATTAGTTGTGTTCCTGTTAACAACACTACGCAGCAGGGTTGCCAGGTACTTTTGTTCCAAGTAACTTGTTGGTAATAAACAGACAGAAAGACAAAAACAGAATCACGATAGCCCAAGTTGATTGCATTATGGTTTTAGCCAAAAAAATCATTCTAGGTGATTGTTTGGGGGAATTCTTTTGGGTTTTGGGCTGGAAAATCTTTCCGGCATTTGGCAACCCTGCAACGCAGTGTGCTGAATTGTGTGCTTCGAGGTGAGTGGTTGAAGGAACTCGTCATTCAAGATAACAGACAAGTGATTTATCCAATCACATACAAGGATTCTTTTACAAGGCCCCACCTTCTGAAATACATCCACTATGAAGCAGACCCAGACCCTTGTGTGAAGCGCAGCAAACTACAAGGTTCTGGCGAGAGTCAGGCTGTCCCCCAGAGCCTCAGTGGGGAGTACTGTGTGCTCCCAAAGCTCAGGACATCTTTTGGACAATCCGGCTTCTCATTTAGGGGGGTTAAACTGTGGAACTCTCCCCACTGTGCTAAAACTACAGACTAACATGACCATCTTCAGCAGAGAGCTCAAACAGTTAAGATCCAAAAAACTCTGTAGACTAGTATTTAAAATTAGCACCTGTCCTAAAACACTTACAGCAATGCATCTGTTTCGTCCAATGTTATTATTATGTCCATATTAAATAAATAAATATATAAATAATTACTGTGTCAGTCACGGACACATCAGCAGCCTGTCTTCCTTGGATCTATTCCTCACTTTGCTTTTATTAGAGTTTCGCACTTTTCCCATGCCTCAAAGAAGGCACTCTGAGACAGTCAACCATCAGTTGTTTTGGTGGTTTGTATAAAACACTTTTAGACTTAAGAATTATTTGGATTGGTTTGTGTTAAGCAAACTCCTCTTTAACTAGCTGTTGTTGTATTTATCTCCATCTACTGTTAATTACACAGCGCCGCAAATGGCGAAGTGGCACGCTCTCTGCCAAAACAATTTCCAAGTGGTAACCTTTGTTTGTTACTTACGCGGCAATAAAAAAAAAAAAGAGCACACACCTGTCTTAATGTTGTTTTCAAACACAGATAAATGACAAATCCTCAGACTATCAAGTTTTGTCTCTAAATCAGTTTTTCCATTCTCTCCAGTCAACAGTGAGCCTTGAAATAAGAATTAGCTTTAAAACAAGCAGAGTGTTTTATCTAGTGATAATTCTATCACTAGATGGGAGAGTTTCTGTTGTTCATTTTGGTATGTTTATTTCAAATTAATTTGACATTCTTTTTGTATAACCCAACAGAATTCTTGAAGGGTGTCACAGAACTATCAATTTGCCAAAATCAGATTAGAAAATTAAACGATTAGAACACATAAGAATTACAACCATAGAAAACCAATGTCCATTTGTATAGACCTAAATCACAACAGCAGTTGTCTCAGAGGACTTAACTAAGTTGTGGATTCACCTACAACATATCAGAGAATCTAACAGTTCGAACACAGAAAAGGCATTCGTATCCATTCATAAATGTCCCAAATCATCACCCTTCGGCAGAGGCAAGGAACAATGTTTTCTTGATAAAACGTTGTTTTCTTGATATGTTAAACGTTTGCTTTTTTCCTTGAGAAAACTGTCCTTATACATTTACAACCTTTTCTCACAAGTAAAAAACCCCTCATTCAGTTTGCTGCCCAAAGCCGTATGTGACATTGGCCTTGCAGAAAGCCTCTGGAATGGCCCTTTCTTTTTCAGTCCGTCAACATGGACTTGGACATCGCTGATGCAAACCCTGAGCATGTTATAGTCTGAGGATCCCCAGGAGGACCAGATATAACCGAATTGCATGGAGTCAACCCCAAGGTTCTGCTGTATGAGTGTGCACGTGTGGCTGATGGACTCATGATGAGGAGAGAGGGCGTCCTGATGGAAAGGAGGGAGGAAAACCAAACTGGTAAATGAAGCGTAATGAAGGAAGGCAGGTGGTGGGAAAAAGGGGTGTGTGGAATTGCAGGAATTGGACCTGAGACACTTGGCGCATACTGTAGCACGCCACACTGGTTCTACCCATGGTCCTCAGAAAGACATAACAAGTTGCAATGAAGGGGAGAAATTAATGAAAAATAATGAAATATGTGAGAGCTTATCACGACAACGTATTTTCCTGAAAATGGATCCATATTAGTGAGCTGAAAACTGAACTTTTTCAACACAATGACATCACCGTTGCATTTGTGCGTTTGCAATTCAAACTGGCCCTGGTTCATCCCATAATGTTTACTTTGTCTCTAAATGAGCATCATTCACATTTCCCTGAGGGTGTTTTCTGTGAGGTTGTGGAGTAAAGGCCTCTCTGGTGGTTGGCTCCTCTCACAGAGCAGGCGGACGGACAGGTGCTGGAGCTGAGCAAACGGCCAATTCCTCCATGGAGCAAGTCTGCTTGTATGGAGGTCTGTCTAATTCAAAATTGAGATTATAGTGTAAATGACAAATTAACAATAGTTTGTATTGTTTATGTAACACAGTGTGTTTTGAACATGTGAAAACTGGCTGGGTTAATTTTATTTACATTTATAACATTTAGATGCTTGTTTTGTGAATGTGGAGTGATTTAAGTAGGGTCTGAAATTGTCATGTTCTTGTTTGTTGTTCCCATTGTTTGTCAAAAATAGAATTCTCTGTCAAGAGACAATAAAGGCTAATCTAATCTTATTGGACTGAACCAAAAGTCAGAAGGCTGGTTATTCCAGAGTCACATACAGTACAGTATAAATAAAAAAATGGCACCATTGTACTCTTTGGAGAGTTACATTTAAAATGATGTATAACATGGTAGCCCATATTAACCTCTTCAATGTTAGCTAGTTAAATGGACCAATGGGCCCTATGTGTTTGTAACATTATTACATACATTATTATTATTATTATTATTGATATTATACAAAAGTACAATGGTCAACCATCAACAGATTCAGAACTGGACATGGCCTGTGCTTGGCCAGCCTTCACAGATGGGGCAGCAGCCCTAGCCCACTGTGCGCTTGTGGAGAGGAGCAGACAATGGAACACATAATTGACCTGCCCTCTCCAACAACTGTGAGGAGGATTAATCACCCTCCACACAAGAGACCAGGAGGCAAGTGACTGGCTGAAGGACTTCGCATTCGCTAAATAGAATACAAAAATACATTGAATTGAATGTTGAATCTTCAATGTGAGACTTATTGAAGGGAAACGAGATGGTTATGATTGTGGATTAATGTTGCAAAGAAACAAGGACCAACCACAAATATTTTAGAGTGTGCTCTGTGTGCCTTTAAAAAAATATTTTTTACTTATGGTCTGCGCTCAGGGCAGGATCAGAGATTTAGCTATTTCCTGAAGAGTGGACGTGCACGGGGCTCCGGAGAGGGATGTCCATGGCCCAGCCCACATGGAGGGGCTGTGGGGGCGGACACAGAGGAGCACAGCAGAAATAATGCCGCTGCACAGGAGTAATGACACTCTGAACTCAAAGAGACAAAGCACTGCACACACTCATTAAGGTGGAACACTATGGGCCTCAAGTATGACAAGTCAAAGAGTTTAGAAGAATAGCATCTCTCGTGCGTCTCAACAAAACACAATTTATATATATATAAAATCACCAAAATACATGTTGCATGTTGTTGCACTGCTCCCAATGGCCCCTCATAATGTATTGCATCTAACCAAATGGCCTTACAATTGTGCAGCTATTATAGCACTCCTTGTCACGCCTTGTCTAAAATAACTAAAAGCATTCCCCCCAACTGCTGGCCTGTAGGATCCTGTTCATCCTACACGGATCAGTAGGATCTGGTTTCCCTGGTTGAACACCAGCATTACTGGAGGACAATTAGTTCTGTCTAGTTATGCCAAAGAGCTTTTTTTCACATCACAATTGGTGTGCGCAGGTTTTTACATGAGTCAAATTAAATTTTGATTTAATTTGATTTAAGTCAAATTAAATTTGACTTGGAAAGAAATTTAGTGTTCACTGGTGCTTTGTAAACCTACTCAATATCATATTCAGATTCAGATCAGATGATTCAGATTCATTTATTTGTCATTTGCAGTCAAACCACATAGGAAAAACTCTGCAAAACTACCCCGGTGTGCACCATATATGTAAATCACTGACCGTCCCCAATGATGCCGAGTATAGCCAGGTCCACGTGCCTCTTCCAGTAGGAGCCCTTCTGTAGCGCGATGCCGTAGCCCGTGGTGGCGAAGATATATCCACTGCCAATGGTCACCAGCTTACAGCCGTCGTCCCGGCCCGCCATGTAGTTGAGCACGGCTGCGTCGTAGATGAAGGCGTCCAACTTACTGCAACAAAGCACGGGTAACGGATTACAACTCTAGTATAGCTTATATGTATTTTCACTTTTGTAATAAGATGCCCACCTGTATTAAGGGAAAATATTAACGGGAGTAAGGAGTTTGTTAGTAGTTTAATATGAACTATAGTTAAATATCTAATTAGAAACAGAAGGAGGTTGTGCTGAATGAGATTATTATATGGAAAGACTTGTCATCGCCAAAATGATTACTTACAAGTATGCAAATTAGCAGCCAATTAGCATAACAAGGACCTTAATAAGTCTTAATAAAGCCTGAAGAATGACTCAATTCTCTGTAATGCATCAAACATATATTAATTTAAAGTTAATAAATAAGAGAAGTTGAGATTCACATGATCTCATATTACATCCAACCTGGTTTTAGATTCAATGACTTTTTCTGCGCTCTATGAACGCTTGTCTAGTTTTGTTGTATGAAGTTGTGTTTTACATGTTGCATGATTAATTGATAGAATTCAAGTGTTAGGGCAAGAGATTCGATCAGTCGCTATTTTAAAGGTATTCTGCAAAATACACTTTTTGAGCTTTCCTCAAGTTGCAAATTTGTTCCTCATCAGTCACAGATCTGGAGTTGTTTTTAGGTCCTACCATGCTAATATAAGGTACATCCTGCATAAACATGTACAGTCACTCCGTCCTTTCTGTCTAAAAGCTCCTGTCTCAATCCTGTAATAGTATGATTTCATTGATCCACTATGACATCACACTCAGAACAGGTTTCTGGTTGCATTGGGAGTTACAGAAGAAAAGCTTTTCTTACCCTTCATACTTGTTTTACCATATATGTTCTACACAATATATTATTTCACATTCTAGAAGATGAAATGACAAATAGTCCATGTCCTCTTTCCTTGTATCAGCATGGTCTGCTTGCGTCTGCCATGGCTCTGCTCCAGCTCCCCTCCATTACACACGCATATAATCAACGCAAAGTCAGATAGACACCATTACTGTAAACGGAGTTATGTGCTTAAAGTAAAAATCAATGGTGCTGCTTATAGGGGCGCCAATGGAAGCAGAGTAAAGTTAGTTAGTGGTGATTTAAGGGCCGCAATGAGCCACAGCAAGGTCTCAGCACTGGGACTGAGCTGAAGCTAAAGTAGTATTTAATCAAAGACTGAAAGTGCGTATGGCATGTTTTATGGTTTTCTACTTAATTTAGTGAGATAATGCGTTCATGTTCAAAAGATTGGCAATTTCGTGCTCTCAGACTGTGGGTAAGGGCTATGGAAAAATACAATATTTACAAGATTTTAGTGGTAGGATTTTAGTAGTGGGATGATTTACATGAATTACGTTGATATCTTCAGCCTAGTAAAAGTTGGGGAGAACTTTTCAAATCCCCCAAATCCTTGCCTTCAAAACAGTTTTCACAGGCATGCAAGTGTCTCGCCTAGATGTAAGAGATTGTTATAGGCAAATAATCAATGAAGGAATATCAGACTGGAAACATAGTTGAAGGAAATCTTTAATGTGTGTACTAGGCGTCTTCAACCTTTTTTGATTGAAGAGCTATAGAAATGGCAGAGAGCTACACCTTTTGGCAGTCATAATACAATTTTAGTTTTCTTAATAACTACAGCCAATCATGAGAACGCACATGCATAATAGAGCATTATACCGTACAGTATGCCTGCATTAATGAAACCTTAATAGTTAAAATGGATACATAATGACATCGAAGGTAAATGATTCAGGATCATGTGTTAAATTCTTGAATCCTTTGGGGAGCTACCTGAAAGGGGGTGGCAAGCAACTGGTTGGGGACCTCTGGTGTGGACAAAGTATGGACAACATGTCTGTCCCTTAGCATCAATACAATCATTGTGCAGAGTTTGAATAGTGTTTCTTTGTGTCTTCTTTAACCACAGTTTTAATGATTAGCCTATAGAAACATGTCCCCATAAGTAGAACTCTGTAGCCATTTGTCAGCGTTTCCAGTGGTCAGACGGTCCAGCTCTTGCATTCTTGGTCTAAGTGGCCTAAGTGTTGTCATCTAATTGACTCACTGGCTCATGACGCCATGTAGGAGGGTCAGTTGGTGTAGACCTCACAAAATCAGGCTGTTAGACAGAGTGAAAAAGAAGGAGACAGCCTCACTCAGCCATGAGGTTTTGATTTGGACTGATAAAATACAGTGGCGACAGTGGCTCAGTTGGTAGAGCATTGGCCTTTGGGCCTGAAGGTCGTGGGTTCAAGACCTACTTCACGACTCCCACTGATGTCTGCTGTCGTTGTGCCCTTGGGCAAGACACTTAACCCCACTTTGCCTGAAGTCCCTGCTGAAAGATCAGGGCTCCTGTGAACTCACCACCTGCAGGAGGATCAGTGAGAGGCTGGTGCTCTGTGTACTGGGTGCAGCTCTGACTGCCACCCCCCTGACCCAGAAATGGATTAAGGGGAAGAAAATGGATGGACGGATAAAATATATTCAGGTAGGCCAGCTTTAATTGACCTTTTATTTATTCAGAAAAATCTCACATATATTTCAGAATGTCTTTGTTTCAGGATGTGGCTGGAGTAAGTAGTCCCACCCCACAAGCTCCACACTCTTCCCTTTGGCATGATATCAGCAGAATTGTTCTTACATCGAAGGCCCTAAAGGCTCTGCTCAAACCAAATTCTATACAGACCACTGTATAGAAGCAGGTCCGATGTAGTACTTTAAGTCCGGCACAAACCAGTGCTCTTCATTGGCTCCATTGTGTTTGCATTTCATCTATCAGATGTGGATTTGTGCTGAGCTCGGGACTATGTCCGGACCACGGGGAGGGAAAGAGACGTGGGGGGATTGTTGTCAGCGCCCAGACAAATGAAGAGGCCGAGAGTGGGACAGTGACAGAGAACAACACGGTGTTCCCTGGAGGACATGAATATTCACAACAGCACTCCAGAGAAGAAAGATGATGGACACAAGCAGCGAGAGCATTTTTACTGATCCTTTCAAATGGTTTATACTGGTATAGTATGTGCTGTATTTATCACAAAACATTGCAGACTTAAAAAGGGCTTTGTGAGTCGCCACATGGCGCTATGAGCTGGGTGGTGTTTCTAATTATATTTATTTCATATATATAAACTGTCTTAAATGTTGTTGTTGAATGATACAGTTGATAAAATAATCAGTTCTAGAAAAAAAGCGAAACCAAAAACAAGAAAACAAAACCAAAAGCTAGAAAACAAGAGCCAAAGTGTTTATATGGATTTGAAGCTCCTATATTCTATACAGTATGCTGTCAAACATACTATATATTTTTGTATTTAAGTCACTACGTGAGAAAAATGTATTGCAGTTTCAATATGTTTGGATGGATGCACTGAAAATAGCAAATTTCCATTTTACCCATGCCTAAATCCAGTTATTACAAAGATATTACGTTGCTGCAAACCTCTCTCTCCGGTCACATCTCCACATCACACATATACTGCGATTTAATCTATGGCGAAGCGATTATTATGCCGCTCTGAAGGCAAAAACAAACCCTTTACCTCCCAACAGCACCATCAGTACCATAATTGCAACGTTTGGAGGATGAGACATGTCGCCTGGATATAAAGAGAAATACCTCCAAACTAACAAGCGTTTGAAAAAAACAAATCCGGCATTCTCCCATTAGCAAGCAAATGGATGACCAAACAAATGAGCGCCGCTGCTTTTGGCACATGCTCTTTATAATAAGCGGTGACCAGGGTCACCGTAACCAGGGTCCAGTGAGCGTCAGAGAGATGAAGTCAGCAAAAGAGCAGGTACATCTACACAAAAGATGAGCGTCTGAGCTCTGTTTTGATCTTCAACCCATTAAGGATTTAGCCTGGTCGTACCACACCATAGTACAAATGACATTTCGTACTAAGGTCTGGAGGTGCTCTGTTGAGCTCCGTTTACAGGTGGGAGGGGTTAACCCTTTAGGCGCCAGAGTTTTTTCAAGAAAATATACAATTTTGATTTCAAGATTTCAAAAGGCTATAACTTTAAAATGGTTTGAGATAAAGGCATACTGTAAATTAGAAATATCTTCAGTTTGAACCAAACTTTGGGATGGAAGTTGATTCGTCATCTAATTTGCATATTGTGACGTCATCAAGGTGGCGGCCATTTTGGAAAATGTTAATTATTGTATAAAGACTTCAAAAAGCTGTAGCTCGGGAGTTATTTGAGATCAGGGAATACTATAAACAGTCAATGTGAAATATCTTCAGTATGAAACGAATTTGGGATAGATATAAATTCCCTGATCCAGATTATAGATAATGTTTTAGCACTGGTTCGCGGCCATAAGGAATTGTATTATTTTCAAAGACCTCCAGTGATCAAAACAGCACTCTTTATAGTTTACAGTCATACAATCTGGAGATTGGTTTCAATATTTCCCTTTCAAAGAAGTAATGGGCATACTATTTTTCTCAGTGGAAATGAGGCTCCAGGATTTATCGTTTAGAAACAGATTAAATGAATGGGCTCAGAACTTGTCAGATGGTCAACAAGAAACAACAGGCTCTTCAACACTTCTGATCCACTTTTGTGGATTATTTTCTCTCAAGAACTGCCTTCATCCTCATCATCGCTGTTGGTAAAGGCAGTTAACGCGATTAGCGATGTGTTTTTTTTCCCGCGGCTTCTCCCGCGTCTTCTTCCACGTCTCCCGTGTTCCCCGTGGATGTCTACCCCGCTACTTTCTCCCACATGCCCGGTGTGTACCACCACGGCCCCTGCTTGGCGTTCACAGAATGCTTCTACTGCGGCCACACAGAGGTGAAGCAGCCGCTGCACAGGGGCTGATTGTGGATTCTATGGAGCGCGGTCTCCCCGTCACTAATAATATCCGTGTCTGCTTCACTGGACACCTGCGTGTCTTCCTCCTCTGAATCTGAGTGAGCCAGTACCAGACCAAGTACTTCTCTGGTACTGAAGACCTTGTGAGTAAAATAAAAAACACTCTCTCCCTCTGCTCTGCTCTCGCTCCTCTCAGCTCTACCGCTGCTGCTTCGCCTCCGCGCCGCTGCGCCGCAGGTGTTTTACAAACTCAATTTACTCAAAAACTTTCAATATAACCACACCCACAAATGCTGCTCATATTACAGGCACATATGTCCACTAACCCCTGGTGAAAAGTATTAACAAGATTCTGCACCACATATTTACATACAGCCTGTTTAAGTGAGCAATATTGCGACTTTGGCGCTTAAAGGGTTAACTCCTTTTGCAGATTGAAACAATTGGATCTGAGTTTACCGTGACGTATGTAATGCGCCCGAGTCTGTTGTTAGCATTTAGCATTTAGCCTAGCCATCTCCTTTGCCGCTAACGGAGCCCGTGGGGGGTAGCGCCACAATCTTTTCCAGCGACTATATTTGCTAAACATTCCTCTTCCTCCGGTTTCAATTTCTTTATAGAACCAGACCGGATTACTTTACTATCACATTTTTTGCCATTGCCAAACTACAACCTGCCTGTTCGACGCAAATTCTTGACGTCACCCACAACTAACTACAACACCTGTCTTCTGCGCTCTCTGAATGGTCGGTCAAAATTCAACCGATTGTAATCGCTAACACAGGGACTAGACCCAGACGTTACATGCAGTGAAATGATGATTGAACGGAGTGTACGGATGGCTAAGGCCAGGCTAATTAGGGCCTGACACACCTGGTAAAATAGACCTGTGAAACCTATGGCTGACTTCAGAACCATCCTCTAAAACATGAGGGTTTCCTGAAATTCAACGTCTACTAAAAGATTGATATCTCGGCCTCTGTAGCAGATAGAAACAACATTTCAGAATTTGAGAGCTGACACTTGTGGCTTTCAATAAGAATGTAGAGTATTATTATAAACCTTCAGTAAAATAATACAAAAATATACAATTTCCACACAGGAAAGGTAATAAAACAATCAAAAACACGTTTCTCAATACAATAAGTTCAAAAGAGTTTGGCAATAATGTGGCACTAATTGTATGGAAAAAAAATTAATAAAAATCCACACTTGATTTGATCACAACATTTTGCTTTTGTGCACAAATATATTGCAAATAAATAAATAAATAAAATAAAAAATGTAGGTACCTGAGCTTTAATTCAGTGAGTTTTGGCTGCGCTTTGTGAGGATACGTGGGGGAGACGTGGGCGAAACATGGGGGAGAGAAGGGGGAGACAGGCAAGACGTATGATTCTGTCACGACCACGTTACGGCTGCACGTTTGCTGAGCTGTGTCAAAGCAGCCACAGTTGCTCCCAGGGTCAGAGGTGTTAATCCCGTTTGAGTACGTAATGCAAACAACTGCCCGCAGTCACACATTTCACAGAAATTATATTTTTCAGCGAGAAGAAGTTGGAATTTGTGGAGCCGCAGAAAATTCTCATCACAGGTATATCTTGATGCATTTCATTTGTCAATAGAATTGATCAATAAAGAGAAATGGTCAAAAAAAATAAAAATAGACGAGTCCGCTTTCCCGGCCTTCAAGGAGCAGTATGTAAAAATCTGGCCAAAAGTGGTCACAGTCAATATTTTGTAGTCCTCTCCCACTCTCCCTGACTCAGGTTGCCAGATACACACCAAATCCAGCAGCAAACACAAGGAATGATTTGATCAGTTGTTTGTCTGTCTCCATTCACATTGCCATGAGCCGTGCTAATGTTGAATGAATGTTTTTTTTTATTTGAACATTTGAGATGAGAAAAACAAAATAAAAGCAATGTAATTATACACGGATTACGCCAAACAAACAAGCAATTGATGTCCAAAATAGGAGTGGGAAGAATGGACGTTGGAACATATTTCTTCAGCGTATCAACATCAGGATTTTATTCCCAATTTTTTAGACATACATGAATAAGTCTGAAAACCTTTTTTTTTTAGCTGTGCATACAAGTGAATTATTTTATATTTGTTTTTATCTTTAATCTTTTTAATGCGCTATGATAATTTATGATTATTTATGATTGTAATCCCTTGTGTGATTTTAATGTTTTACGGTTTTTAACTACTTGTGTGATTTTATATATCTTGTGCTCTTAATCTGTCTTTTTATGTTTACTTAAATTCTAATGTTTGATGATTTATGCATGATGTTATATGGGTTGTGAGGCGCTTTGCGTTGCCTTGTGTAGGAAAGGCGCTCTATAAATAAACGTTGATTGATTGATTGATTGATTGAAGTCCCACATCAAAAAAAGACTAACATTATTATAATTGGGTACATGTGGTCTCAAATGATTCTTTTTACAATTAAACTTTAATTTATAAATAACGGCTTGTGTTTACTTGTTGCCGTTTTTAAGCCATCTGTCATAGAATATAATATTATATTGTTTAATCCAAAACACAACTCCTCCAGACTCAAACCCGGGTCGCTGGGATGTAAGTGCTATGACTAACCATTAGACCAAGGCAAGGCAAGGCAAGTTTATTTGTATGGCACAATTCATACACAAGGCAACTCAAAGTGCTGAACAAAACAAGAAAGCATTAAAGGACAACTCACCCTCAAATCCACTTTTTTTTGCTGATAAACGGTATAAATGAGTGTCCAATAGTGTTGTCTACATATCCTGGTCATAATTTTGTCACTTTGGTGCAAATTAGTTGAAAGTTAAAGACCTTATGACGGGTTTTAAAAAAAAAAATAGTGGATATCAAAATTGCATGACAATGTCAATTTGAAAGAGCTTCCGGCAAAAAAAATCCTATATTTTATAAAAAGAACGTGTTTTTCA